CCGGGGCAGCAGCTTGAACTGGGAGGCCCAGACATCTCTTACCACAGCCACCTCTTCCAGCTCATCTGGGAGGACCCCAAGGCGTTCCCAGGCCAACCGAGGGACATGTTCTCTCCAGCACCTCCCTAGGGAGGCGCCCAGGAAGCATCCTTACCAGATGCATGAACCACCTCAACTGACTCCTCTAGATGTGGAGGAGCAGCGGTTCTACTCTGAGTCTCTACCGGATAACTGAACTTCTCACCCTATCTCTAAGGGAGAGTCCAGCTACCATGTGGAGGAAACTCATTTCAACTGCCTGTATCCACAATCCCATTTTTTCGGTCACTACCCACAGTTCATGACCATAGGGAATGGTAGGAACATTGAATGGTAAAAAGAGAACTTTGCCTTACAGCTCCCTCTTCACCACAATGGACCAGCACAGAGTCCGCAATACTGCAGATGCTGCACCAATCCGTCTGTCAGTCTCATGCTCAATTCTTCCCCCACTCATGAACAAAACCACAAGATACTTGAACTCCTCCACTTGGGGCAGAACCTCATCCTTGACCCGAAGAGAGCACGTCCAGTCATCATTTTTGTAAATGTATGGCAACAAAGGATCATGTGAAAGACTGGGTAATGGAGGCGGAACGTAGGGAGCGGGTTGTTCATTCAACAGCCTTACTGCACCGGGATAGAGGCTGTGGGCCATTCTGGTGGTCACAAATGGGTCTATATCTTCGTCCAGAGGGCAGTCGTTGTAAGAGATGGTGTGCTGGGTGTGACCGGTCTTAAATGATGTGAGCTCGGCTCAGGCAGCGAGAAAAGAAAGCAGTGGTGAGTTCCGGGAGGCAAGTCTCAGCAACTTTCCTGCTGATTTGACCACCCTTTGAAGAGCCTGTTGAACCTCAGTGCAGTTGGAAACCCACACCAGCAATCTGTACGCAATCACGCTTTCCACTGCGCAGTGATAGAAGTTCAACAAAAGCCTCTGGGGAAGTTTTGCTCTTTTTAATCTCCTCAGATTGAAGAGGCGTTGCTGGACCTTCCCTATGGCTGGAGGATTTTCAAGGTCACAATAAAACATCAATGCCATCAGACTTGCATGTATATCTGGATAACATGGAGACAATTTCAACATATAACTCACTGATTGTTTGAAAAAGGAAGAAGAAATTTTAGTGAGTTGGGAAAAAATGGTGTAAAGATAAATAACATGCAGTGAAGAAACAAACAAAAAAAAAGTGCAATGCTGCAAAAATATGGCCGTAAAGACATTTGGATTACTCAGGAAATGTCTGTGATCAGCAAATTTTGATCTAAGATTAGAGGTTAAAATGAAGCAATAAAGAGATTTATGACTCTTTACTTTGAGGGCAAACCATGTATTACCTCCCTAAAGTTAGAGCAGGGTTATTTCATGTAAACAGACCTTTCCCTTGCAGTTAATACTCTTTGTGAGACAATATAAGAGCCCTATTAACATTAATACCAATTATTTTGCTACATATATACATATATATGACAACAATTACAACAATCATATTGTTATTACTGGTTGAGATAAAGAATAATGTTTTATGTCTGGCATGGGCAGAAATTGCTTTGGCTGACTGAATGTGTCCCAGGACCACACCATGATTCGTATTGTTGACAATTTTCTGTAACAAAAAAAGGCCAGGAGGCTTATGGTTGAGTTATGACAAATAAACGCATGAACACTCAGGTAATTACATGATCGTCTGCTTTTTCGTGGCAGGGGGCGATAATAAATTGGTCCATAATGAACCAGGCGTAAGTGCAGTTTAACGTTTGAATTTGCTGCGGAAGTGTTTGCTGTTCTGCAAAATCTTTAACATTTCTGAAACAAGTGAGTCATGAAACAACCAATGAACACAAACAGGACGATTTCGCCTTGGAGGTTTAGGCCAGATTTAAAAATAAAAAAGTGAATTACAAGAAATTAAGGGACAAAAAGGGGAAAGTTACACATCAAGCAGCTTATAGGCCACATTTTCTCACAAAAGAACAAATAAATAAATAGATAAATAAGCCTCTGTAAACAGAAAATGGACCCAGCTAATCAGAAGTAAACCAAAACATGAACGCAAATCTTGCTCTGTCCATAAAAGTTAAAGTATGCAGCACATATTGTCAAGTTTGTTGGAATTAATGTTTTTATTTGCGTTTGGCTGTCTGAATCTCTTGAGCACAGTAATGTCTGTGAAATCTGAGCCAGACCGTTACACCATTTATATATATTCATATTCATTTATATTCATTCATATACACTGTTCTTGTAACACAGAACGGTCTCTTTAATGATCAAAAATCACACATGACAGTTGTGCAATTTAACTTGTTTTTCTAGAAGTAAACTGTTATTTAGAAAAGTTTCAGACCTTCCTTGACAGTTGTGCTGCGATATTCATTTTAATCAAAGTGTATTTTTTGTACAGAGATTTTTTTAAGTGTTCGTCTATTGGTGCAATTTTGTATTAATCTATTTTATATGTATGTATATTATCATGTGTTTTTATTGTTTATTATTAATTATTTTAATCCCCAAGAGGGGTTGTTCGCCCACGGCACCAAACAGGCTAGGACCGCCCCTGCACAGTGACAATCAAAATGTTAAAAAAAATACATATTCCACTTTTTCAAAACTTATATTTAAGTTATTAGAGAACAGCCATTCTGATTGAAAGATTCACTGACAGTAAATTTTAGAGGTTATGTGCATATTTTCTATCTCATTTTTAGTTGTTAATGAGCATTATAAGACTGGCATTCATGCATGAGGCTCTCGTTCACTTTTTGCACATCTTTAGAAATCTAATGAGCCACATAAGCAACGTTTGTGTTTGTTGTGATCTGATCCAAGTCCACGAGAGGATAGAAAAGTGGACAGAATCACAAAAAGCCACAGATGTTTTCAGATCAATAACGTATAAAGATCATTTAACATACAAGAAAATAATAAAGAATCAGCTGATTTGGAATAGTTTGAATTTAAATGTATATTTTAAGTAGAATTACTTTTACATTTAAACAGCAGCATGTAAACCTGCTCTATGGGTTAACCGTTTTAAAAAAGGTAAAATAGAATAAACATCACACAAACAAACTAGTTTCATTTTAGAAATTTAAATATTTCAAACCGTTCGTTTCTTTGCAAACTGTGAGTGGGCAGTGATTGTCCAGGAATCCAGCAGCAGACGGAGACGGGAACAAAAACACTCCCACCTGGCTCTGCTTGTCTACTTTCATTTTGGTGACGTGCTCAGCTCGGAGAAAAAGAACGTACAACGCAGT